TCAGCACCACACTCTCCCGAGTGAGCCACAGGCCGGCCCTAAGTTCACTTGCTTTTGAACGCAGAGTTGTCATTTCTGAGCAGGGAAATGACACAGCCACAGTTATAGGAGAATGGTGAGTTTCCAGGACTAGCTGGCCCTTCCTGCTCTACTTCATCCCACCTTTGCTCAAAAACAAAAAAAAAAATCCAAAAGGATAGGTTCTCCCCCAAGAGGCAGGTCCAGGCCTGGCCCCTTGCTGAGAAGAGTCCACAGTGGCTGTCTCTACCAACTCTCCATGAGAGGCTCATTTGGGGGTGGCAGCAGCAGCCCCAATAGGAAAGAAGCTGCCTCTTGTGTCAGAGGTAGACTTCCAGCCAAGGACTGTAAGGTCTGGGTCTGGAGGCAGTGGGGGCAGTTATGACTAATACCATATAATTCACTACAGTGGGGTAAGAGGCACTGGCTGACCATCCCACTACAAACCAAAGCCAGTAAAAGGCGGCACCCTCACTCACTGTGAATGGACATGTCCCTAAGCTGCCCACCCAGGAGAACCTCAATCTAAATGCTCCTAGTTTTCTTTACACCTGTGACCCCGTGTGTATCCACAAGCTGGGAGGGGTCCAGGGGAGCAGTGAGGATAAGGGACAGGAAAATGCTTCTGCCCAGAGACCCTTGGTCTAGATGGTATCCCACTCCTAACACTTCCAAGCAGAGAAGCAGACACATCATAACAATTGCAGGAGTGTCACAGGAAACCAGAGCTCAAGGAGATGCAGGGAACATGGGTGACAGACCCAGCTGCTGGGTTCCTGTTCCCCAGGACCTGCTGTTTACGAAGCCCAAGAGAAACCTGTCGTTGAACGAGGGGATTAAGAGCATGGGCTCTGCTGACATGCCTTGGTTTGCAGTCCCCCATTTCCCCACCATTTGGACCCCTAACAAACCTCATCTGTGTAAATGAGCAAAAAGAATACCTACTTCGCAGGGTGACAGTAAAGATTAAATGAGCTTTGAATGCATGTAAACCAGTTAATACCCCCTCACCCAGCCCCTCCATTGCCCCATAACCAATGGTTATTATTGCTATTGTCCCCCAGAGGAGGGAGGCCAGCAGTGCTGGCTCCCTGGCCCCGCCAACCCGCCCCTGCAACTCAGAGCAGGCCAAGACTGGATCCTCTCTGGGCCTCTTATCTCCCTTTCCTTCTCTGCTCCCCTCGCTTCCTCCCCACTCACTGTCCTTTCGCTCAGCCCCTCTTGGGAGCTCCTGGCCAGCTCTTTGGTTCACTGGCAAAGAGCTATTCAACTGTCACATCCCTCCTGCTTGATAAGCTCTGCAAACTATCCTGACTCTATTAAGACATCCGTCTGCCTACACAGAGACCTCTCAACAGCTGGTGATCTTATCTGACGCTTGATTATACCAACTTTGACAGTTGTATTTGTTATACTCATCAGGGAAAAACTGGGACTGTGGAAGCCACAGCTGTCATCCCCATTTTTCACCTTATCGAGCTGAAAAGAGCTTTCTGGCTTTTATTTAAGTGGTAGTGGTTGGGGAGGCAGGGAGGCAGGGAGTCTGGGTGGATGACACAGTGGGAGAGCTTTGGAGCGCGTGACATTATCCAATGCTTAATTTCAGAAGTGGAGAGCCACCACTGCCACCTTGAAGCCCTGCAGATGTACTTCTAACTGGCCTGGGAGTGAATGCAAAAGGGCAAGAATGAAAGGCTTTGCTCCTGGGTGGGGGATGGGAGGGGGTACTGGCACAGATATAGGAAGCAGGACAAAAGCAGAAAGGGTCCAGAGACTTTTCCTGAGGGAGGAGGAAGGAAGGAAGGCCTGCGGCAAGGTGCTGAGACAGAGGGCACAAGCTAGTCCAGCAGGGAGGGTGCCTGGAGCCAGCTCCAGCCATAGCCAGAGCTGGGGGAAGGAGAAAGGAGCGTCATCATCATCATGGAAGTCTGTCAAGTCATCCTTCTTCTGGAAGGAGGTATTGGCCAGAGGGGAATGGAGGCGGGGGAGGTTCCCCAATCTGTACACAAGAACTTGAGGCATGACCGAATAAGGGGTTTGGGGGCTGGATGGTTAATTCAGTTGGTTAGAGTGTGGTGCTGATAATACCAAGGTCCAGGGTTTGACCCCTGTACCAGCCAGCCGCCACACACACACACAAAGTAAAAAAATATAATATGAATCTTTTCATGAATTAAAAAAAAAAAGAATAAGTGGTTTGGCTATGTTCACAATGTAAAAGCACGAAGAAAATCTGAAAGGCTCCCCCATACCCTCCAGGAAGGAAAGTCTCAGCATCATGACTGACAGTGGAGAAAGAGGCAGCTAAGCCTTCAACTAGGAGGCCCAGGCTGCAGGCCACATATGCCAGAAGCTGGCAGGAAGATCTCCAGGGGCCCAAGGTCGGCCTCTCTCCTGACCTCAAGCCACTGCTCTATGCTCTCCCACTTCTGGTGACTGACCCCATCCTGGACATTAAGTGAGTGTCAGGTCATCCCTGCCCAACACTGTCCTGAAAAACAGGGCTTGAACTGTGGTGCATGGCTTGGAAGAAGGTTCTTGCCAACTGACCGCAGACCCCTGCTTTTCAAACACTCTCCCCTCCCCTCCTTTCAATCTTGGCACATCTGGCTGTCCCTGCACCTGCCAGGCTAACTCTCTCCATGGAGCCCAAGTCCCAGGGGACTATTCTCCACTTAGAAGCCCTCCCCCAACTACTTTGGCCATCTTGGTACCCCCCAACTTCCAGTCTATAAACCTGCTTTCCTAAGTGGCTCAACCAGCACCAACTGACTATGGTTTATATTTGTGTAATAACTGACAGTCACTGATGTGGACTCTCAGTCCTTTTCACATTGGCATTATTATCCCCCGTGCAGATGAGTAAACAGGCAAAGGGACTGGATCACTCAACTAAGACACAGATAGAAACAGTCAGGGTCAGGATTTGAACTCAGGACTATGACTCCATTATTCATCAGCTATTATTACTCACATCCCTACTAGAAAAACCAATTTACTTCCTGGGGATCATGGCTCAAAAGCCCAATGAGTCTCTTCTCATTAAACTGTCAACCTCCTTAGGTGTTGAGGGACATGTGCTTCTTTCCTCAGGGGCTGGCATGAAGCTCTGCATAGAGAGGATGCCAATATGCAGTGTGAACTGGATAAACAACTAGATAACCAGCTCCCCCACCCTGGCCAAACTCTCTGCAGAGGAGAAGGGCCTTGGCCCTGGAAGGAGAGGGCTTTGTTCCCACCCCTATCCCAGGAAGCTCTGCATAGAGAGGATGCCAATATGCAGTGTGAACTGGATAAACAACTAGATAACCAGCTCCCCCACCCTGGCCAAACTCTCTGCAGAGGAGAAGGGCCTTGGCCCTGGAAGGAGAGGGCTTTGTTCCCACCCCTATCCCAGGCTCTGGGTCTTACCCCGGAGGAAGAACTTGAAAGTCTCCTTCACCATTTCCTTGCAGATCTCAGGGTGGGTGATGGTATTGAGCAGCTGCCGCCGGTCAGGCTTGTTAAAGATCATGTCTCCCAGGACCTCGCGATTGATATTGCCGTTCTCCAACAAGACTTCGGTGCCAAAGGCCTCCACGATGCGCTGGTGGGCGGGGCATCCTGGTCGGACAACTGTGGCAATGAAGAGGAGGCTGGGTCACTCTCTGGAACTGCCAGGCTAGCCAGAGGAACCCGAGTGACCAGAGGCAAAACGATGTTGGAACTCAGAGGTGCTTCTTACAGTTGGAGTAAAAACAGAATGAGAGGAGGGAAAGCAGTTCAGGAGAAGAAAAGAGTACACAGAACCCCTCATGGTGGCAATGGGCAAGGGGAAGGAGAGGGAGACGTTTTTTTATTTTTTATTTTTGTTTATTTATTTTTTTGGTAGGGAAGACTTCTAACGACAGGGAAGAGTACACAGAAGAGCAGAGAGGGCAAGCACGGGGCAGACACAGGACATCAGACCAGGACTGGCAGGAGCCTTCCCCTCCTCTGAGACTGCAGAGGGACTTACAGAAAGGTGAGGCATGACAGAAGGAAGCACAGGGATGCTGTTATGTACAACCCCCAACCCACCCCCTCCAACTCACCATGCCGGGCAATGACATCAGCGTCAATCACCGCACAGCCCAGCTGCTGGAACACCTGGATCACCGAGCTCTTCCCTGAGGCGATGCCCCCCGTGAGGCCCACCAGGAACATTTTCCCAGGAAAGAGTGAGGTCAGTGAGACGACAGAGCCAGGAGCCGAGGAATCACTAGAGAGTAGGGCAAGCTCGGCAGATTGGGTGGTCCACCAGAGGAATGACAGAAGGACCTGCCTGTCAGAGGCAAGCAGGCCTAATCAGTGTTGGGCCAAAAGGACTCGGGGAGAAGGGGGCAAAGGAAAGGAAGGGAGATGGCGACAGTCTGGCTGGGCAGAGTCAAGCCCTGAGCTTGAGGAGCTCTGGGGCCATCTGGAGAGGAGAAAACCTCCAGGAAAACTTATAGCATTCTTTAAAAAACACTCATAAAGAAGGCAAACTATGTTGGTAACACCAAGGTCAAGGGTTCAGATCCCTGTACCACCCAGCCACCAAAAAAAAAAAAAAAAAAAGGCAGCAAACTACAGTGTAAGTTTAGGCAATCAAAATGCTGAGCAGGCAGAACAATGTCAGGTGCCAGTAGGCAAGAGAGTTTTCTGGAGAAGGCGTATCCCATTGCAGGCAGACTTCCTATAGAAAGGGACACCTGTTCCTCAGAGGTGAACCTAAGGCACTTCTCAGATGCCCACAGATCCCTGCTAGCTTCCACTTTCTAGTCTGGGACACTGAAGCTCACGGAGAAGAGCTGGCCTTCCTGCAGCCACCCAAGTGGGTGGCAGGAGAAACCACAAACAGAGTCCAGGAACTTCTTCTGCCCAAAAGGCTGCTCCCCATAGAAGGTCCCACTGCCTGCGCCATCTTCAGCACCAGCACTAGGACTGCCTAGGTGGCTAGTCTAGACTGAGATGCATAATCCCTTGTCCTCAACCAAGAAGTGGCCCAGGTGGGGAGCTCAGCGGCAAGCAGTGGCTCAGTGGCCACTAAGCCTGAGGTTTAGCGAAGTACAGATCTTGCCAGGAAGGAATGTGAGGGAAAGGGTGACAGGCTGGGGGTGGTGGTGATGTAACTTTGAATTTGTGGTTTGCAGCTCCCTCAGACTCAGGAGCAGCAATGGCACAAAGGTTAGGAGCATGGACCTCTGCAAATCCAGCTCCTCCACTACGTGCTATGCAACCATGGGCACCTCACTTGCCTCTCTGAACCTCAATTTTCTCATCCATAAAATGGGGTTAACAGAACCTGCCTCATAGGGCTGTTGTGCAGACTGAGTGAGAAAATGCATATAAAGCCCATGGTACACTGCCTGATAAATGGTACACGCCCAATAAATGGAAGCAAGGAAGGTGCTGGAGGGTGGAAGGTAGGGGTTACAGTTATATTGCAAGGCACAGAAAGAAAAAAAAGACTTTCTTCGTCTTGTCACCATTCCTGCAACCTCAAAATGTCACACAACAGACTTTTTAAAAAGTCATGTTGTATTTTCTGGAGTAAATAGGGCTACCATGTCTTGGATTTAGTTCCCAGACCGGAAGCAATTAAATCAAAGGCCAAGTCTCTTCCACCCTTCCTTTGGCATCAAATCACTCTTCAGGGCTTTTAAATCTGTCGTAGGACCTTTTTTTGTTAAACAGTAGATTTACTGACCTAATTACACTTTGCTTAAACTTATACCAAAATGAGTTTGCCTCCCCTGAGGACAGGGTGAGGCAGCCACTTGGATGTGGGTGAGTGGGTGGGTGGCTTGGGGTGGCAGGGAACCAACCTAGAAGTTTAAATCTGTCTAGGTTCATTCTCACCCAAGGAAGCCAGGGGTGAAAAGAGGAAAATATCCACCACAGAGTCATCATCCAAATGGAGAGAACTAACTAAATTATTCAACGGTTTTAAAGTCACTTCTCGGGCCAGCCCGTGGCTCACTCGGGAGAGTGTGGTGCTGATAACACCAAGGCCACGGGTTCGGATCCTATATAGGGATGGCCGGTTAGCTCACTGGGTGAGCATGGTGCTGACAACACCAAGTCAAGGGTTAAGATCCCCTTACCGGTCATCTTTTTTAAAAAAATAAATAAATAAAGTCACTTTTCCTCAATCTCTCCAAGGCTGGAGTCACCCCCAGGTGGTCTCCCTCCAGGTTACAAGAGGAGTTAGGGACAGAGTTCAGTTGTAAGAAATAATTTAATTAATCCACTTAGCTGAAGCTTTGAAATAGAAACCCAGCAACAGCGTTTTTAATCCCAACTCTCTGCTGTCATCCCTAAAGCAACGAGAGTCTGCTTCTCTTCTGCCGAAGACCAATCTGGAGGAATGGGAGTGGGACTTGAGAACAGGCCAGGCTGAGTGAAGGGGCAAGGGCCAGTTTCCCACAGTGCCTTGATCTCCTGTCATTGAATGCAAGCCACTGTCACCCGATAACCCAACTTTGCGAGGCTCTGCTGAAGGGGCCTAGAAGACCACCTGGCTGAGCAGACCTCAATACCAATACCAATATCACCACCACCACGGATGCCCCGACTCCTCCTGAGATGTACTGAATCAGAATCTCCAGGGATGGTGCTGCCCCAGCAGTTCTGGTGGACAGCCAGGCTCGGAACAGATTCTAACTCTTCATTTACAGGGGTGGAGATTGAGGACCAGAGAGAAGGGAATTTACTAGGCCCACAGCTAATAGCAGAAACTTGATGGAATTCAGGGCTCCTCACCCCTAGTCTAGAGCCCTGCCTTCAGTGTACTAAGGGAATGAAAAACTAATTTACCTTTAGAATAAGTAAGACACAATAAGGAAGGTGAATCTGTCTGTAAGCAAATTAATTCAGAGCCAAGAGAAATAATTTCTTGATATCATATTGTTGCTTTCTTCCTGCAGAATGTGGGGGAAGGGGACTTGTGGACAATGACCAGGGCATAGAGGTAGGTTCTAGGCTCAGCTCTGTCCCAGGCTACCTAATGAATATCTTCCCTTCTTGGTGACTTGGATAACCATCTGTAGAAACAGACTAACAGCTGCTTGGCCTCCATTAGGAAGGCCAAGAGAATGGAGGAGCACATGCCTGGGGAGACTCTCGGCTCCTGGCTTACAGGGGCTGGACAAATAGCAGCTGTTCCTGTCCTCTTTGTAACAAGTCCCTTTGTAACTCACTCCATCACTAGCCATTGGCTGAACTTTGTAGCAGCTTCTGCCAGGGACCTCTTGGGCAACCAGAGGAAAACACAAGTCTTGTCCCTAGGGAAAACTGAAGACAGACAGTAACAAATGACAACAGCTGAGAAGAACAGAGCACTGACAGGTGAACAGGGGCAGCCTGGTGTGTGAGGACTGCCCCACTCATGCGCGGCTGCACACAGACCTGCGGATCTGTGGGGGAGGAAGCTGCAGCAAGCGCGAGCTCCCTGTCCTTTCCAGGCTTTGTAAGTACGAAACAGAGGCTTAGGTTCCAAGCTGCCTCCAAGTCCCACCTCAACCTGCCCAGCAGCTCCCCGCCAGGCACACAAGGACAAGTGACCACCTTTGATCACCTGTGTTCATGACCCTCTTCCCGCTCTGGCTCATATCATCACTCTCCAGAGTCCACTCCAGTTTCTCTCACTCCACTGCAACTTACACAGAGGCACTGGGTATCTCACAGCAATTCCTAACCCAGGCTATTATCTGAATGCCCTATAAGAAAACCTTTAAAAGGGCAGGCCCGTGGCTCACTCGGGAGAGTGTGGTACTGACAACACCAAGACCACGGGTTCGGATCCCATATAGGGATGGCCGGTTAGCTCACTTGGGAGATCGTGGTGCTGACACCACCAAGTCAAGGGTTAAGATCCCCTTAGCCGTCATCTTTATTTATTTATTTATTTTTATTTTTATTTATTTATTTACTTACTTATTTTAAAGATGACCGGTAAGGGGATTTTAACCCTTGGCTTGGTGGTGTCAGCACCACGATCTCCCAAGTGAGCTAACCGGCCATCCCTATATGGGATCCGAACCCGTGGCCTTGGTGTTACCAGCACCGCACTCTCCCGAGTGAGCCACGGACCGGCCCTTACCAGTCATCTTTTAAAAAAAAGTTACAAAAACCCAGGCTCCACCCCACCCACTGAATCCACTACAAATCAAATGGAAGCTGAGAGGCCCGGGTCCCAGTCTCTGAACTCTCCATACAACTACCTGTGTGACTACATTCGGAAGCCTTCTCGCCAGCCTGGCCCAGGGTGGTGAGTGCTCCATAAATGAGAAAGAGCTGAGCCCGAATGCCTTCACCTCTCTGAGCTTCAGCCTCCACACCTGCAAATGAGGGTTGGACTTCCAGCACCAACAACAGCGTGAGCTCCCAGGAGAGCCTGTGAGTCACACTGGTGCCTCCTTCCTTCCCTTCTGTGGTTCAGTGCTCATCTGGGAAGTCAATAAATGCTCACCTGGTAAACCAAAGAATAACATGAGTAACCAAAGAATAACACTGGTGATCTGGGAATCTTCCTCCTCAATACCAAAAGCCATGCACAGAGCTGGCTTGGCTGGAGAAGGAAGGACAACACCGAGTCCCATAATAACAGAGAAGTTAATGCCCAGTGGGGGAGAAATGGAAGCTGGATTCTGGAACTAATCCCAAACATGGGATTATGCTGTTGGAAGTAACCAAATAAGATATAAATAAATGGAGGGACATACTGTGTATATGGGTTGGAAGATTCAACATGGTTAAGATACTAAGCTCCCCAAATTAACAGGTTTAACATAATTCATCAGCCAAGGTGGGACTGGGAGGAAAAGCAGGACTCTGATCCAGGGTAGCCACATCTAATTCTTTCTTTTCCCTCATTCTCATGTCAGTGGAAAGGCAAGAGGGTGTAAAGAAAAGGGTAAGAACTTCGAGGTAGAGGTGGTGTCTGCATCCCAAACCTGCTGTGGTGCGTTCTAATGCCTATGAAATGAGGATCAAATTCTATTGTGCTCCATAAATGGTGGTTCTTCTCATTAGCTTCCCCAAATCACCTTTCAGTTTTTACCTCTTCAGCCCCAAACAGTCCAGAGAACACAAAGAAAGTAGATTCAGGGAAGAACAGCCTCTCTTGGAATCTCCTCTGGCAGTGTTAGTCTTAGGGAAAAATGAGAGCGGCCTGCTTCATGGGCATCCAGACAAAAAGCCCCACTGCTCAGTGAGGTCTCTCCAAGTTCCAGCTCCACTAGGCCCACCCTGCTAACCTAAGCCACCAGCACTTTGTGCCCAGACCACTGCAGCAACCTTGTGACCTGACCCTCCATTCCCTGCCTTGCTTCTCCCCAAGGTAGCCAGGATCATGTTTAAAGGGTCATCTGATCATGTCACTCCCCTGCTTAAAATCTTCACTGCCTTCTTCCCCTTAATGGCCCTTCACAGAGGCCTCTGGACCC